TACCTGTTTGTTAAAGCCACCCCCTTGTGGTATTTCTGTTATAGCAGCACTAGATAAATAAGATAGAATTTGGTATCAGAAGAGTAAGGTACTACTACTCTAACAGTTACCTAAAATGTGGAAGTGGTTTTGCAATTAGGTAATGGGTGCAGGCTGGAAAAATTTTAGGGTGCCTAATAGTAAAAGCCTAAGGAGTTCCAGTGGCATAGTACCTAAGGCATTTGACTGCTAACCAGAAGGTTTGTGGTTCAAACCCACCAGCCACTCCACAGAAGGAGGATGGGGCAATCTACTTTTGTAAAGATTTACCACCTCAGAAACCCAATAGGGGTCACTATGAGTCAGAATTGACTCAATGGCAGTGAGTTTGGTTTTTAGTTCATAGTAAAAGCCTAGATTGCCTTGAAGAGACTGTTGGTAGAATTATGGATGTCAAAGGAAATTCTGGTGAGGGCTCAGAAGGAAATGAGGAAAGATATGGAGAAAGTCTCTATGTCTTAGAGAATACATGGCATCGTCAACAGACTGTTCCTAGGCATGTGAATATTCAACGTGTTTCCATTGAGGCTTTAAAATAAAACGATGAACATGTGATTGAACAATGGAAGAAGGGCAATGCTTTTCATGCAGTGGCAAAGAACTTATCTGAATTATGTTGAAATGTTTGATGGAAGGTAGAACTTGTAAGTGATGAACTTGGTTATTTGGCTGAGGAGATTTATAAGCAAGATCTTAAAGGCATCACATGATTTCTCCTTGCTGCTTATTGTAAAATGGAAGGAAATAAATGGACTTAAAAATAAACTGTGCAAAATAAAAATAAAGATTTGGAAAATTTTGTTGTACAAATTAAGGACATGTTTCCTAGCATTTTCTATAAGGACTTGGCTATACAATGTTTTGTTAAAGAGATTAAGCCTGTAACTAATCAACTACCACAGCAGAAAGCCCATCAGCTTAGATTGAAGGGGAATGAGAAAGGAAAGTTGTCTGTCTCTTGTAATTCTATAGGCAGAAAACAGGTCAAAAGAGCTACATTTGCTGTCCTCCAAGAAAAGAAAAGGACCTCGCTGGAGCAGCTTGGAGGTGAGCAGAACTACGGGAAGGGGAACAGGAAACAGGGCTGCCTTGGTTTCAAAGGGCAGAGTCATGGCCTCCTAGGTTTCAAAAAGTCAGATCTCTATTAACTCAGTTCTGGAGTGTGGCGCTGCCATTCCCACAGGCTAAGAGGATGGGGACACCGCCTAAAGCTGAGAAGTGGGGCTGCCATGCCCAAGGGGCAGGAGAGCAGATCCTGCCAGGGCTAAGTAGGTAGGGTCACCACTCAGATGGAATAAGAGAATGGGTCCACCCAAAGGTGAGGGAGCAGAGTACCATCCCACTGAGGTAGAAGACAAAGCTGAAGCTCGGGGCAAAGGGTCCTCCACTCAGAACCCAGAAAGCACGGGCAGCACCCAGAGCTTGGAGGGCAGGGCCATTGTCCAGATGGTCCTGGAGAACACAGGATTATTTTCAAGCCTTGAGAGCTAAAGTAATTTGTTCTGCTTGGTCTTGGACTTGCTTGGTGTCTGTTATCCCTTCTTTCACTCCAAATTCTCTCATTTGTAATGGAAACATCTACCTTGTACTGGTTCCATCATTGTACTTTGGAAGCAGGTAACTTACAATCTAGATTTCACAGGTTCATAGATGAAGAAGAGTTTTTCCCCACGGTAGAATATACCTAAAGCCTCATCCATATTTGATTAAAATGTTTCAAAAGATGAGATTTTGGAATTAGAGTTGATTTAAGACTTGTGATGATATGATGGAGTGAATGTGTTTTGCCTGTAGGAAGGGTATGAATTTTGGGGGTCAAAAGGTAGAATGTTATGGGCTGAATTGTGTCCTCCTAAAATGTGTTGTAAATCCTATATCTCTGGTTATAATTCCATTTGGGAACGGGTTCTCTTTGTTATGTTAATGAGACAGTAGTAATGAAGGTGTACCTTGAGTCCATCTCTTCAGAGATATTAAACAGATTAAACAAGCAAGTGAGTAAGCAGAGGGGAGCCAAGTAGATCCCATAGCACATGATGATCACCAAGGAGCCAAGGAATAAAAGCTGAAGTGACAAGGACCTTTCCCCAGAGCCAACAGAGAAAGAAGTCCTCTGTAGAGCCAGCGCCCTCAAGGTGGATTTGGAGCCTCCTAAGAGTGTTGTTGTTGTTGTTGTGTGCCTCCAGTCGGACCGACTCAGAGCGACCCCTCCTTGGGTTTCCGAGGCGGTATCACTACACTACGGAAGTAGATTGCCCAACCTTCCTTCCTGCCCTAAGAGTCAGAAAATAAATTTGTTTGTTAAAGTCACCCACTTGGCGGTATTTCTGTTATAACAGCACTAGATAACTAGGATAGGATCCTTTGTTTGGAATTGTCATGTTTCAGTAGGAACATTATGATTTTTATTTTAAGAAAGGAACTAGTCCATGTAATTAAATTTACATTAAAAAGAATGCCATTAGGGGACATCAAGCTCAATTGGCATAACATACTATACAAAACATTGTTCCACCTCCTACTTTGGCAAGTAGCAACTGGGATCTTAAAAGCTAGCAAGCTGCCATCTAGATGCAACGATGGGTCTCTCCTCATCCAGAGCAAAGAAGAATAAAGAAAACCAAAATTCATGGAAACAATTAGTCCTAGCGATTGGTACACCACCCGATCTGTAGCCTATATGACTATGAGACCAGAAGAACTAGATGGTGCCTGGCTGCCACTGTCATTCACTTGGAAGGGGATCTATGTAGGAGATCCTTGATAGAGAGGGAGAACAATGTAGAACAAAACTCAAAATCATTTGGAGAAAACAAAAGGAGGGGGGAACCAGGTTTGCTGGTCCAATAGAGCCTGGTGGAACCACTGAGACTATGGCCCCTAGCTGCCCTTCAGATCTGGAATTGAACCCACACCTGTGGTTTCCAGCCAAACAAAAGACAGGCATATGAGTTAAACATTTACCTCAAGTAGATACACTCCTTGGAGAGAACAAGCAGGGGGAAAGAAGGGTTGCTTATGCACAGGGAGACAGCTCAGGGGGCAGGAGTGCATGGAGGGATGGACACAGGGAAGAGGTAACTATAGGGAGGAAGTGGGAGGGGAGCTGTTGCATTGTAGTAAACTGTCGTCAATGTCATGAGACAAAGTGTGTGTGAACCGCTGTACGGAAAGTAAATTTGCTCTATCAACCTTCACCCAAATCACACACAAAAAAAAAAAAAGAACGCCATTTCATGCATCATTATTTCAATGTCTCTTCTCTTCCAACATGCTATGAAGTCATTTTTAAGCAGTTATTCTAATATTAATGAGAATTTCTAATGCCTGATGGGGAGTTCTGGTGGTGTAGTGTCTAAGCCATTTGACTGCTAACCAGAAGGCTGGCAGTTCAAACCCGCTAGCCACTCCTCAGAAGGAAGACTGGGCAATCTATTTCTGTAGACACAGCCTCAGAAACCCAAGGAGGGGTTGCTATGAGTTGAATCAACTTGACAGCAGTGAGTTTGGTTTGGTTTTAATGTCTAATGAACATATTTTAAACTCTGAACTACATCTTAAATTCCAAAAATGAAAAGAAACCAGCTCATTAGATTAAATAAGAACACAGTAATGTAAAATGGGTTTTCTGTTTCGTAACTTCAAAAATTGATCGCAATAATATAGTTCATATCATACTCTAGAATTTCTATATATTAGTTTTTGCTTTTATTGATTAAATGTTGGTATTTTCATAGTCTGTTATAAAGTATCTTATCACTCAGCATATTGTGATATTCCTGACTTGAATTTATTTCTAAAATGGAAACAGATTAAAACAAAATAATAATAATAATAATAAAAACAAGAGTAAAGAATGTTTAATGCCCAAAGTATTGCCTCTCAAGTCCTCAAGAAAGCAAAAGTAGAAAAACATAAAGGTTATTAATTAAAACAGCAGACATGAGGTGTGGAGACGGAGCAACAGTCCTGAGAGGGAAATGTCCTCCCCATTGTCTCAGCTGCTTAATGGGAGCGCTGTGTCTCAGATCATAGTCCTGACTTCCACCAATCTCTCAGCATAACCATTCCCCACTCAATTTTTTTTATTACTGTCACACTTTCCATTGAAGCAGCCCAACTTAAAGCCTTCAACATGTTAATACTTTTTAGAAGGCTTCCTTTTGCTCTCAGATAAGTCAAACTTTCAAGAAGACAGATGTATGCCAAATATCTGGATACTTCTTTCCTAATATGTCAGATGCCAAAGTTTTTAGCAAGGAAGATCAGGTTAAGTAAGTGGACTTAACTGTACCCTAAAGACAACACTTTTGTCCACAAATGCAACACACACCGTCACATAGAGCTGTCTGTGGACTGTATGGATAAATAAAACATCAGGAGATCACGTCCATTACCTGAGTAGGGCTATGAAGACTTAAATCTAAACCACAAGTAAACTCTGTATGATGTTCCACTGTCTCAAGAAGAGGATCAGGCTTTGAAAAGTTCCAGAATCTGTGAATATAAACAAAAAGAAACAATGTAAGTTGCTAAAACTACCATGAAAAGAACTTACAATAAGAGAAAAGAGATTTTTGACAAAGCAACGATTAAAACAGGCTCAACCAGTTCATAAATGCACAGCCCACTGCTGATCTACTAAAAAAAAAAAAAGTCTTCTAAAAAATGTATTGTATCCTATAATATCAAAAAACAAGAAGGAATTATTAACTGATCTCAATCAACCCTTAAAAGGTAATTGTATTCCCATTAGTATTCCTTGCTGGATGGAAGCTAAAGTTTTAGTTATGTTTTAATATTGGACAAGGACATTTGAGATGAGAGACACTATGTTTTTGTAGCAATTTCTAAAACCATTCACAGATGTAAAATAAGGATTAGATGAACTCTAACATTTTATGATTTTAAACACTACTTCATTTCTCAACAACTGACAGGAAAAGATCTTAGGTTTCATTTACATTTCAATAGCAATTCAAATTCATTGAAAAGAATCTGTTCTCTTATTAAAATCTATGTAATTCTGAAACTACTTTTTTTTGAAGCAGTCTTTCTTAAAGATTCCACATCAATGTAATTTCTAGAGTTAAGAAAAACAGAAATTTATTTCTTGGGCCAATATTCAGTATTCTGTTCACCCTCTACAGACTGAGAGTGATAATATTTACCATAATACATCTCTGATTTCCACTGTATAGAAAATAATTTGGCCCTAGTTTCGATATACAAAATAGTACTTACTTTCTAAAGTTTTATATATTCATCTTTTTTATTTGACTCTAAACACACCATGAAAATGGCACATTTCAAATCATAGAGTCATATTCTAACTCAGCCTCTCTACTGATCTATAACATGGAGCAGAAGGAAGGTTTAGCAAAGAGAGTAAATACACAGAACCAACACTCAGTTTGTTTAACCTGGTGGTATTATTTCCCTAATACATACAGAGCTGGCCCTATTAAGTTTTGAAAAGGATTGTTGCTATGGATAATCCATTGTGTAGGTACCAGAGGGCAATGAATAAATAGCTCAATTATCAGATTACTGAAATCTATAGAATATTTAAGGAGAGTGATTTTATTTTGGGGAATTTGCCTGTTCAAACAAATGAGAGAACAGGCTGTATGTAGTCTTTCTCAGAAATCATCATAATGGTCTCCAGCATCTTTGCATATTTGTTCCTTCCGGTCTCATTGTTGTTAGGTGCCCTCTAGATGATTCCAACTCATAGTGACCCCATGTGACAGAGTCCAACTGCCCCATAGGGTTTTCAAGGCTATCACATTTATGGGAGCAGACTGCCACATCTTATTCCCATGCCTTCAGGTCTAGAGACTGAATTATACCAAAATCTGATGTTCTGGATCTTGATAATGTTTATATAAGCAAAATAAACATGTAATTATATAATTTAGTTTCTAAAAACATGGTTATTCCCTCATTTGCATTATTTAAAACAACAAATGATTTTGTACATACTCATTATGTTCCAAAAATCTTCAAAATGGTTTATGTATATATATATTTAATATAGCAAAAAAAAAGTGAGTTACAGAAAAATTAAGGAGAGGAGAGTAAATCGGAACCTGCAATAAGATAACAAACAAAAATATACTGCACACAGTTTTATGTGCTTGACAGCGGAAAACCACAAGACACCTCGAGGCTTTCCAGTAGCCAATAGCAAGAAGGAGACACAATCAGGCCCGGAATTCATAATGCCTATTAGTAAATTGCTCTTGAAAAGCTTAAAAGGAAATTCTCCCTTAGGAGTTCACAGAGATGAAACCCCATGCTTATGTCATGAAGAACACCCTCACCATCGTTTAAGTAAAGACAGAGAGGTTGTTTTAAGGGCTACTGCTTATGAGTCAATGGCATCACCCCAGAGAGCAATTTAGTAGACTCATTCTACTGGAAGATCAATTTGATATAATCCAAGTATTCAATTCTTGGACTTCAGTTGGGATCCGGATTTCATTTCAGTAGAATAAATGGTTAAACATTCTTTAGGTAAACCACAAATGTTGGCTTCTTTCAGTAGAATGTTTTAAGAATAATAAACAATGAGGATTTTTCATACCCTTCTGGCAAATTCCTAGAATGCACATTTTTTTTTTTCTGTTTTGTTTTTGTTATTTCTACAGAACATAACAACAACAACATCACTATGGAAGCAGATTGTCCAATGTTCCTTTCAAGGAGTGGCTGGTGGGTTTGAACCACCAGTCTTCTGGTTAGCAGTCAAATACCTTAGGCACTACACCACCAGAGCTCCTTGTTTTGGTCCAGGTAAGGGCAAAGCTTGGGCAATCTACTTCTGTAGTGATACCGCCTCGGAAACCCAAGGAGGTGTTGCTATGAGTCAGATCCAACTTAACGGCAGTGTGTTTTGTTTTGGTTTTTTGAAGGACAAAGCTGTACTGAGGAGGAGACAGACAGACCTCGTGAAAATTAAGATGCCTAACAAGGACATATAGATGAAAATGATCCAACTTCAGCCTGCAAGTGTGATGAGAGAAGTCACACATGCAGGACTCAAAAAGTAAATCTGAACTTGCTCTAATATACAACCAAATGGGCAATCAAGACTTCACACAGTTCTACACCACTAAATCACAGCTATAATAATTTTAACCTGGGAAAAATGATCAAGTATTTATCTGCACTTTGCAAAAAATTCATTAAACTAAAATGAGGGAGAGGGTCGGTATATTGAGTGGCATAAAAGCACTACTGGCCATTACAACATTTCGCAGCTCTGACAGAAATTTTGTAATATACAGCGTTTCTATTATGGTGCAAAAATTATGAGAGCTCCATTTCCAGCAGTACAGCCAAGTAGATACCAAAACCAACATTCTTTTGTGAAAACAAAGAATCTTAGATAAAACATAAAAACAAACAAATAATAACAACCAAAAAAACTTCATAAAAGCATCAGTGAGCTGATAAGAATGTCAGAAACACTCAGGTGAAAACTAAGTAATGTTTGGAATCCAGAACGACAGACAGAGCACTGAGGCCAGCTTCTTCCATGAGATTTACTACATACAGAGAACCTAAGCTTCAATTTCCCAAACCTCAAGACCAAGAGCCACTAAAATCAGAAAAGTCAATATTAATAAAAATTTAAAAATAATTTTCAATAAACAAAAATATCAAAAGTATCAAAGGGAACACAAAATAAATGACACAAGCTAAATAACTTGAGAGAACCAAAAGCTAAGCGGTATGTCTATGAGCCAAAATTTATTTTTCATTTAAACTTACTTGTTTTTACTTAAATTTACTTTTACTTAAACAATGGTGAGGGTTTTTTTGTTTGTTTGTTTTTGTTTTTTAAGGGGAAAACCCTCTAGTGGTGCAGCACCTAAGCATTTGACTGCTACAGAAGGTTGGCCGTTCAAACCCACCATCAGTCCATGGAAGGAACATAGGGCAATCTACTTCCACCAAGATGTATCTATCGCCTTGGAAACCCAGCGGGGGTGGCCAGGAGTCAGGATTGACTCGATGGCAGTGGGTTTGGTTTGGTTTGGTCATAAAGCTATCACACAAGGAAAATGGGCTCCTTTTTTTTTTACTGGAGAAGTCAGTCTACACACGTCATAAAGCAGTCAGATAAGACACATAACTTTTAAGTGAAATGTTTGTTTGGGTCCAGCATTTATACTACTTGGTGCCTTTTTGTCTCTTTGCTGATGAAATCACTGACTATTTGAGCTCTCATTGGAAGTAAATATACTGGACAAGACTCCAATGATTAAAAATATTACATAACTGTAGGAACATTTTTCATTTAAATTGGAAATGAGGAGAGAAAAAATAATCATAATACAATGTCTTGGTTGAGTTACTTTTTGCCTCTGACTCCACAATTTTCTAACAAAGCAAGAATGCAACCCTGTATTAAATCAAATATCAAAACTATTTGAAAAGTTAAGCTGAAATTATTTTTTTACTTTACTAAAATGTAATTTGTAACTTTTTACTGTAGGATTTTTTGAAATTTTAGCCAACAGATTAATTGAGCAGAAGGTCTAAAATATTTCTTAAAGTACTTCCTTTTCCTATCGTATTCTTGACTTAATTCATTAATTCTCTGTGGGTCTTAGTGAAACTAAATGGATACGTAACGTTGAATGTAAAACAAACTCTTAAAATAAAAAAAAAAATATCTCTGTGGGTCTTTCTAACTACAGGAAAAAGATTGGCAAGTATTTTGACTCTTTTTCAATGCCTTACATGTACATTAGTTCTAATCAAATTACACTATTGTAATTACTTCTCTTCACATTGCTTGAGTCTGGTAGTCTCTAGAGCAATGAGCCAAAAAAAAAAAAAAAATGTTCAATAGCTTTTCTGTTCATTTAATGACTCGTTCATTCATCAATTTATGAGACCTATGATGTTCCAGGCACTACACCATAAACAAGATACATGGCCTCAACCCTCCTGCAGCTCACAGTTTGGTGGAGACAAACGCTTGAAAAAACACAATGTAATTACAATTAATAAGTGCCATAAAAGACAATATGGGAATGAGTGACTTCTGAGGACATGACAGTGAGCTCAAATCTGAAGGTTAAGGAGGAGTCAGCCAGGTGGAGGGCAGAGAGAGCAGCCTGCTCCTTGTCAGCAGGAGCCTGACTGTGGGTCAGAGAGGGCCCAGGAGGCTGGACAGAGGAAGGAAGAGTGGTACAAGAGGAAGCAGGGTACCATTACATAGGTCTTATGAAGAATTTGGGGCTCCTCCTTAGTGTAAAAAGAAGTCACTAAAGGGTAGTAAAGGAGCTCTGGTGGCACAGTGTCCAAGGCATTTGACTGTTAACCAGAGGGTTGGCGGTTTAAACCCATCAGCCACTGGGAGGAAGGAACAGAGGGCAATCTACTGCGCTAAAGATTTACTGCCTCAGAAACCCGGTGGGGGGGTTGCTATATGTCTGAATTGACTTGATGGCTGTGGTTTGGGCTTGCTTTTTTTTTTT